TTCTCAACAGGGCGAACTTTTTTTCTTTATCCTTTGGGTTTCAGCATAAATATCTGTGTGTCATCACATCATCCAAACTAAATTAGCATCTTCCCACCATCATTCTTTGACCTCGGCCCATTTTATTTTTTCTCATTGTAATCATTTTTTGATAACTTTTTAAAAAACTGGTCTCCTCCACTAGAATATCAAGCCATATGATGGAAAGAAAGTTTTAATCCTTTTTACAATCATATTCCCAACATTTAAGTTAACAGTAACAGCACTCGCAGTTCTAAATGCGTGTTTTTGTTTTTTGGGGTTTATTTTTTGGTAAAATTTAACGTCTTCATCAGTACGTACTGTAACCACACGAAGTTTATAAATTTTCCTATGCTCTTGAGAAAACTGAAGCTAACACTTTAGCTTTTATGTAATCATAAAAGTACCACACAAGGAGGAACTGACATAGATTGATTACCTTTACCTCTGTTAATATTTTGATATTAAGCCAAATGGTAGGCCAGTCACATTTGAGATTCCATTATGGGATGGATTTGAATAGGAATTATGTGACATTTGCAAACTAAAGTATACCATAGTAATGAAAATTACTCCATCTCAGTAGCCTACATCATGTTCGAGTTTTTAGAGTCGGGAATGCTCATTATCAGTAAACAGTTTACAGTTTTGTTTCTGAAGAAACCAACAAAGCAGCGGGTAGGTAGCGATGCATTTTCTTGGAGAGATCCAGATCTCTTCACAGAAAAAAAAAAAATTCTTTTAGATTGTGTAAAGAGATAACAATATGAGAAATTAAAGAATTATCATCCCCAGCCAACGCCAGAAGATGACACAAGAAACAGACCTTTCCTCTTGGTCCTCGGCCTCAAACTCTATCCCATTTTGCTTTATTTTTAAAATGTGGGCCTGACCAGTATGGCAACATCTTTCTGTACCATGTCAGGTCGGAGGAAATAATTGAAGTCCAACTTGCCATTGGCTCAGCATAGTCCTGTACATGAGGAGGCCATCTGAAATCTTGAGGATTTTGGAGGGGACATAGCTTCATCTAGAATTCGGTAGGCTCAGGATACAATGAGAACTTGATTTTGCCCAAGAGCATTGCTTTAGACTTAAGATGAGAATTTTATACAGAAATAGATGACCACTTTAGGATCAAAAGTGCCACTCTTGAATAGGCTTATGACTCATCCTTTTGGCTTTCAAAGAGAAAATACAAGAACGCGTCAGATAACCAATCTTGGAAATATATATGACCACAAAACAGAGTACAACATCAAAAAAAGGAAGCATTGTAAGTAAAAAAAAAAAAAAAGGTGCTAAAGGACAAGGGGAATGCATTTTGTGCAAATACTTGACATAAAAGTGGAAAAAGATAGAAATTGAAGAGAAAAAAAGAAAGCATTAGTTAAGCTAATTAAATTAAGTTTTCCTATACACAAAGAACACATATTTGGAGTAAGAGTTATGAAGATAAAAGTACAAGATGCTGGGTGAGCGCTCGTAGACCGCAAAATGCATTTTGGAACTGTACGATGAGGACTGACAAGATGTAGCAAAGGAAATGTGGGTAGCTGAACACGTGACATACCTGCAAGGATGAAAACTACGGAAGTCCAGTTAATTGTATCGTAGGAACCCGAGACATCGAGCACATCTCGTAATGAACCTGTTTTGGAGTTCATGGAAATGACTGCCAGCTGTTCTGACGACGACGTGACCCAGAAAGTCTATATGGTACCGAAGGCCAAGCCTAATTAGATATATCACTTCTAACTGCATAAACCCGCAGTCTCAGAAGGAAGGAGATGGGTTGTGATGCACATGTAGGGAGGGTGACTTTCAAAACTGCAGGAATTCTGGAGGCTAAAACATGCTGCTGTTTATTAGGGGCTGTCTTTGGTGGGAGGATGTAAGGTGACCGTATTTGTGTCTCTTTCTTTCTACAGTGGGTACATTTAACTTCTATGATGAAAAATATTTTGAAAGTATATACTATTACAGATACAAGGTGTGCAAGTGATGTGGCTCCTTCCATGAGCTACATTAAACATCGGTTCATAGTCATGTCTCATGTTGTAAAATAGTCAAAGGATAATCTATTGTCGCACACAGTCAAAAAATTATTGTCAAAAGCCAATGTAGAGGTTTTTTTTTTTTAACCACTTCATTATTTAAACTTGGAAACAGGTCTCAAAATGACTGCAATTTAAAGCTACATCTGATTATTAGCAAAAGACTTTTTAAATCTTGTTTAAAAGGGAACAGTAGCATAAATTGTGTGCGTGTGCGTGCGCTCATGCGTGTCTCAATACCCTTCCTCTCATTATGGGGGTTTCTTAACGATAGAAACTTTGTTTTGTCACTGAGCTGTGACCTGAACCTCTGGCAGGGTGATTGGGTCTAAAATGCCAGCACTGTGACAGTGGGGTCTGAGGCCCTTTGTGCTGCTCCTGCAATAATAAACCCTCTGGGGGAGATGAGGAAGCCCCTAGTCTGTGTGTCTGCGTAGAAAGATTCATATACCCCTTCGGAATTTTACTTGAGCAAAAAATCGCACTGCATTTTTGTACCGCGCCCCCATGCATTTTACATTCACTTCAGAACACTGGAACTAATCTTTTTATTAATTTATGTAATGATCCCACACTTACAGTGCATTCGATCTATTACTTTTCTTCTAAAACCACTCTTCAATGGTATTTTCTAACCTTTATGCCATGAAGACTGGTCTTAGCCCAGAGTTGAAAGGATGAAAGAAGGAAGGAAGGAAGGAGGAGGGTTCAGGAAGAAAGGAAGAGAGAGAAAAAGGGAATCATTCGGAAGAAAGCCTTTCATTCGCATAAACCTTTACAAAATAATTCCCCCACTGCAAACAAAAATATAGCTTGGATTGCAGTGTTAGAATTTTGTTTACTTTAAGAAATCTGGAAGTGTGTATTTCTTCATAAATAGACTATAAAAATGTAATTCCGTTAGTACAGGAAATTGCTAACCAGTATCTTCTTAAGCCTCAGTCACCTTATTTATAAGAAGCGTTTGGACTTAATTGTTCTATGAATCTTAACTCAAGCTAATAAACCAACCAGGGTTTGAAATTTCATAATTATTGTTATAGCAATTCACACCGTGATTTATTCCAGTGACTTTATTTTAAATGGTAGTTTCTCAGTTGGAGAAGCGGTTCAAAGTCATTTTGAGCTCGGTTAAACTCATCGCTTGGAGCTGTGATTACTTTCATGTCCTAATTAAATAGGAAAATTTATCTCTTGCATTTTGTTTGGGGAGTCACAAGCAATCAAGAACAGTATGGTATTATTATTGATGAGCATTATTTGATTTTTGCTGTCCAGTAACGTATATATTATTCTCTGTGAATTAGGGCATGGGATATACTTTCTGTAAGCAGGGTAATGGAAAGGAATCATTAAAGGAAAACATGCTGTGTTTTGGAGAGAATGTTTTACCTGGAACATAAAAATGACAAACAGACTATGTGTCTGTTGTTATAGAGCCCAAACCCTTTCCAGCTATTTACATTTCCGATGCAAATGGCAATTTGACACAGACTAACAGTATGTATGATGTGAGCATCTGCGTAAAAAAGGCTACCTATGGAGCATGCCCAGTGCGGGTGAGTGCGTCCCGGGCCCTCCCCCTCCAGATCTCTGAAGATAAGGCTTGAACTTTGCACTTGCAAATGTCACTGCATACGTTGTTTTTTGTTTTTATTTTTGTTTTCAGATTCTCTTACAACTAATTTCCTTTAGCAATCCAAGAGCAGGGAAGAGAATATTCAGGGTAGCAAGATGCATTAAGTTTAGAACGAGTTGGTGCCTGTCTTTGAATGCACTTGAATCGTTTTTTTCTGTTTAAAGCAACATAAAGCATTCGAGTGTTTGTTTCCCCCGCTGCAATGGGAAAATAAGCATCTCCTAGGATTGGAGTCCTCCGGGGTAGGGAGTGAAAGCCCGGAGGCAGAAAGGGCGCAGCAGAGGGGCTTGCCCCGAGCATGGATGGGAAAGGAGCAGGGGTTGTCCTCTTGGGCTCAGCGCGCACTGAGGATCTGCGCCCAGGGCTGCAGCTGCGGATGAGAAAGCCGCTGTCTGGCTCATGAAGGCCACCTGGATCAGGCTTCTGAAAAGAGCCAAGGGAGGAAGGCTGAAGAATTCGGATATCTGTGTAAGCTCCAGGGCGTTCGTTTGGGGAGACGTTATTTTGTCTTTGCTTTGCTTTTGTGGCACGGGCTCCTTTATTTAGTAATGTGATCTCTGATCGCAAGAGAGGGAGCCAAGGAGAGTCCTATAATTTTCTGAGCTCCTTTTCCTATGTCGTGATTTATTGCCATAGGAGATATCTCTGGCAGGTGTTTTCTGTTGACAGGTTTTGCTAATAGCTACTTAAAAGTATTATTGAAAAAATGTGTTGCTTCAAGATTGGGTGAAGCTGGCTGCTGTTGCAGTTTTGTTGGAGAAGGTATCAGGTGAATAAAAAGGTACAAAAGGATGCTTAAGATTAAAGTGGGAGTCGACTCATGGTAGTGATGTTTTGGAGAGTTCAAGTTTGTAATGCGTTCGCCTTTCTTGTATTTTTTTTTTTTTTTTCAATTAGAGGCTCCTTTCTGGTTGTAAATACTTGCTTTAGTGTGTGGATTGTTCTTGAAGCTATCCTTGAAACCCATCGATGCCCTTCAGCCCTGCACTGCACCATGGAGCCGGCTTCATTCTGGAGGAACCTGTTCTGGCTTCCAGAAAGGACAGGAATTGCAGCATAAGGCTTTGAGAAGGAATGGTAACTTGGTAGGCACAGACATCCTAGTGAATAGTCTGCAAGCCAGAGCGGGATTTTCTAGACTGTTTGCCACGAGATGGATTATTTCTTCCTCTTTTCAGGAACTTATAGCAAAATCTAGGAAGCTAACTGTGGTGTCAATGAAACATTTCCAATGCAAACGTCATAGACAGAATCTATTTTAAACTGTACATTTTTCTCTCCAGGGTTCGGCAGACTCCTACACCAGCCGTCCATCCGATTCAGATGTTTCTTTGGAGGAAGACCGGGAGGCAGTGCGCAGAGAAGCAGAGCGACAGGCACAGGCCCAGTTGGAAAAAGCAAAGGTAAAATCATTTTTTTTTCCCAGCCGAGCTCTTTCTTTGCCAGTTGTGCCCAGACTGTGATGGGCCACCTGTGGAAGTTTCTCCTAAAACATATGTTTGGGCTCTTACAGTATTTCATTGTCTGGTTTAAAATAGAGGTACAAGAAATATTTTCTTCCCTGGGTAGAAACAGGAAGTGCGGTATAGAAGAGTGGCCTTGCCTTTTATATTTTATTATTTAAGGAACTTGTTTCTGTGGGTAGATGGCTTACGTAGTCACACAAAAGAATCCCTGAACATACAAAGAGGAAAAACTATACCTAATATCGAAATGATTTTACTTCATTTTTCCAGAAAACCATTTCTCTGCTTAGAAAAACAAACTTTTTTCAAGCTAACGTTTATTTTGATGTTCGAGCAATCTTTCCCACAAATTTTACTCCATAGATGCTTTGTAATGGGATTTTCTTATATTTATAAAAAATGGACTATATTACGCTTTCCAAAAATAAAGCAACAAAGGATTCTTCTTAGTTGAAAACATTCCTTCCCTTGGAGAATTTCTTCTTCATCCCATGATAATAAAGTGCATATACAGGGAAGGGGGACTGGAAATCAGACATGAAATATCTAAGTACAGAATTTAGCAGAGACTGTGTTTCATTTCACTAATCGTCATGATTTGAATTCTTTTTTCCCGTGAAGGAATTCGAACAGCAGCTATTTCAAAAGCATAGATTGTTGTTCAAGTTTAAGATACCTGCGTGTGTGTCATACTCGGTAACTTTTAAATGAACATATTTTAACACGGTTCTTGGTTTTCTTTTGAAAAAATTATTGCTTTGAAAAAGCATCAGTACTGTGTCGATCTTGCTAGAAAAAATCGAGGGATAACATTAGACTACTTCTGCTGGCTACTGCATCTTTGAGATGAGTAAAATCTCTGTGTTGCTATGGGAATCATGGCTTGGAGATTCAGAAAGCATGGACGGCCCTTATGTAATATTCATGACTTCTAGCACAGCTGCCATAGTAGTTTACAGAGGACCTGCCAGGAGGCCATGACTTTTAAAAAGCAGTATTTCTGTACATCAAAACAATGTTCTCACCTCTGCTGGCAGGGAAGTCATCTCCAGATGTGACACAGTCCTGACTGCCAGACAACCCATAAATAACAGGAGCGGGAAGCTGATAGAGCAAGGTGTGGCCCAGCTACCATCAATTCATCTGCTCTATCAAAGTTAATCATTGAAAACATTATGATGTGACAACATGGAAAAAACTGGAGGACATTATGCTAAGTGAAATAAAACAAGCGCAGAAGGACAAACACTGTACGATTCCACTCCTAGGAGGTCTCTAAGGGAGTGAAACTAACAGCAGCAGAGAGCAGAATGATGGTTGCCAGGGGCTGGGGCAGGAAGTACCGTTTCAGTTACACAAAATGAATTAAGTTCTAGAGATCCGCTCTATGACATTGTGCCTATGATAATGAACAGTACTATACCGTGCACTTAAAAATCTGTTAAAGGGATAGGTCTCTTGTTAAACGTTCTTACTACAGTAAAAGAATTCTAAAGTTGACATTAAACAGTGAAGAAAATTAAATAATCAGTGTATGACTAGTGAAGTTAATTGCCACAAGTTTGCAGCGTAGCTAATATAGGTTGCAATTTAGAAGCTGAATTCTAAATTCTACATTTTACACCAGGGTGCAAAGGAAAGTCAAGGAACAAAAAATAACCATTTGTATTCCCAAAGTAAGAGTGTTTTATTCGTACTAATTTATTCATGTGATTTTCACATAGCAAAATAAACAGTTTCTCGTATTGATACCACATCATCATACAACCCAAATTCTAGTAGATTTGGTGTTTAGTCTTTGGTTATCTGATTGGCATATTTTTGTCCACGACTGCTTTAAGTCCTGAGTTAAGTGACACATCTGCATAGAACTTTTAAATATCTTTCCAATGAGCATTGATCAAAATATCTGTCCTAAATCAAACCGGGCTCATGTTATTTGTTATATAGACTAAAAAACTTATAGTTACAAATAACATAGAAGATGAAAGAAAGTGAAGATTTAAAACAAAGGGAAAAATAATAGAAGGGCTGTTTCCTGTGTTTGATGAACATAGTTTATTTACATCCATTTTTCTTCCTTAAAATTAAGTCAATATCTTAAACCTTTGTTGTATGCAAATGAACTAGACTCAGGTAAGTGAGAATTTAAATATGTTATGAAAGAAGACAGAAGGACTAGGATGTAATTTTTCTTTGTGTTAAAGTCATGATTTGGTAAGTCTGGTTTATTAATTTTAATATCCTTAAAGAAGAAATGCAAACAAATATTGTAGATGGCTCATTCATTGGATTACTTTTTTCTGTTCCCCTCTACCATGCCTTTATACCATCATGCCTTTTTGAGACCTATTTTAATGAAGCCTTCAAGTTTAAAAATACATGAATTTGTTGCTTAATTTTAGATAGTATAAAATACTTTGCACATTTATTTTGAAAGAATCAAAAGTTTTATACATTTATTTTGTAATCATAGCATCTCTCAGACAGATCTTATAAGTGGATGCTTTAACTCACTAACCCTACAGATCACATAAAATAGGTCTGTGCAAATGCCTGGAATAAACCTCAGCCGTGCTTCCAGATCCGGGCCTTCGGTAAATGTGAACTACATTATCCATTAATTGCCTTAATACGTCTGTGAAATAAACTAATTGACAGGTAGTGAGCTAGAGACACTGGTGTTTGAAATTAAGTGACCTACAAAAGGTTATATAACCAGGCACTCTGTGCTTCCAGTAAAACCCAGGACTTTTTACTACACTTTGTTATGGCTTCTCTTCAACTTTATGGTGAACAGATTCTGTATTAATTTCGAGGCAAATAAATATCAACTGACATGACCTTGTGTTTTAACTTGGCATTTTCTGGTCCCCAAGACACGTTTTGATCCTGTTTGGTTTGCCATGTTTTGCAAATCTTGCCTTATTTAAGCAGGTGCTCTTTGTGTCTGCCTTAAAAACAAGTAACATGTAAATTTATTTCTACGTTGATCTTTTTTTTTAAGAAGAAACAGCTTTTTTGAGATATAATGCACTCATTGAAAGTATACAAATTCAGTTGCTTTTTAGGATATTTACAGTTGTGCAACTATCACTACAGTAAAGTTTAGAACATTTTCATTGTCCCCTAAAGAAATCCCATGTTCTAAATTAGCTGTCACTCCACGTTCTCCACAACCTCCTCAGCCCTAGGCAACCACTGTTCAGCTTTCTGTCTCCATAGATCTATCTATTCTGGATATTCCATGTAAATGGAATCACACAGTAGGTGGTCTGTTGTGACTGGCTACTTTCACTTATATAATGTTTTCGGTGTTCATCCACGCTATAGTATGTATCAGTCCTTCATTTTTATTGCCAAGTAATATTCCATTGTATGTTTATATCACATTTATCAGTTGGTGGACACCTGGGTTGTTTTCATCTTGTAGTTATTGTGAATAATGCTACTGTGAACATATGTACAAGTTTTTACGTGAGCATAAATGTTTATTTCTTGCATGTGTATATCTAAAGTTACTGGATTGTATTATCATATTTTTTTGATTGCAAGAATAATTTTCTTGTCACCCTCACTCCCCCCAAATGATCTTTTCTGGCCAATGTGCGGAGACTGAGATGAGGAATCTGAATGAGGAAGGTAATGGTGCAGAGATGAAATAGGTTCGGTGTGGGATTCTTTGTAGAATGGATTAACATGAAATTTTAAGTCAATTGTCCTCTCATGAGTGAATGTCTACTATATGAATGAAATTCTATTAGTCACAGTTGGTGAGTAGAGGGACTGCAAGGCCAGAGCCACAAAGAAGAAACAGGCAGATCTTTTGCTTGCAAAAAGCTTCTACTGTTTGTCTAGGGAGTAGAGTTTGGCCTTAAATCATGCTGATTAGAGGTAGACTAGAAGTACTTTAGGGAAATATAGAGGTCTGTGAGCATTTGAGAATACTGCACCCTGCTGGCAGAGATAGAAATGGCTTAAAACGACTTTACAGAATGGACTGATAGAGTTTAGCTTATGATGTAGAAAGTGAAGAGTGGAGAAGTGAGAAATGCCTCAAAGCCTTAATAAGAAATGTAAGTAAAGGCCAACATGAAGAAATGCTTGGCAGCAAAAAAACAAAAATCAAAAAAAAAAAAAAAACATGGAATCTTACAGAGAAAGATTTGCCAACTTGAAACCGTTTTTATTCTGGCCTCACAATTAATAGTTTGGCTGAGTATAGTATTCGTGTATTAAAAACATTTTCCTTCAGAATTTTAAAGACATTGTTTTGTTGTCTTCTAGCTTCCAGCACTGTTGATATGTTTACTGGATGTCACTTGGTCTTTGGACGTGGCTTTTAAATTTTCTCTAATATACTGAGAACTGTTCTTCCTTGGTATTTTGAAATTTTGCCTTGGCGTAGGTCTTATTAATTTATTGTGCTGGGCTTCTCATTTGTTGTGAAGGGCTAGTCAGTTCTGGAAAGTGACTAATTTTTGGCTAATTTTTTTCTACTGTATTTTCTTCTTTTTCTAGTTCTCTAGTTTGTCACACATGTGATTAGAGCTTTCTTCTCTCCTCAGCTTTTCCCTATGATCCCTCTGTCTTTTTGTTATTCCACCTGAATTTTTCTCCACTCCATGTATTGGAATTTTTATTTTTATAAAATTCTAACTTTCAAGAGCTTTCTTCTCGTCTTTTCCTTTTTTAGCTTCCTGTTCTTATTCCATGAGTATAATATTTTCTCTGTGTCTCTTAAGACTATTTTTTAAGTTTTCTGTACTGTCACTGTTTTTGAAACTTTTAAAATTTGATTTTATTTTTACATACTGGAGACTTTCTTCAAAGGTTTGATTCTTGCCTGTCTATTCATAATTAAAAGCAAAATATTGTAAAACTGACTTGAAGTTCCACGTGTGATGGCAGAGCTTCCTGACTGTTGGTCTTTTATA